AAGAACTGCCTTCACTGTAGGACCTCTAGGATTCTACGAGTACAATCGTATGCCATTTGGACTTACCAACGCCCCAGCCACTTACCAGCGTCTCATGGAACGATGCCTTGAAGGCCTACACCTTAACATCTGTTTGATCTATCTCGATGATTTGATCATATTCTCTAACACGTATGAAGAACATATTGAACGACTCAAACAAGTTTTCCAGCGGATACAAGAATGTGGGCTCAAACTAGCCACCAAGAAGTGCAAGTTCTTCAAAAGAAAAGTTCGGTATGTGGGGTACATTGTTTCCGAACATGGAATTGAAGCTGACCCTGAGAAAATTGACAAAGTGCAACATTGGCCAACTCCTTCCAGCCCGGAACAAGTCAGGAAATTTCTAGGATTCGCTGGCTATTACAGAAAATTCATCAAAGATTTTGCCAAAATTGCCAAACCACTTTCAGAGTTAATGCCAAAGTCAGCTTCAAAGAAGTCAAAGCAACCCAAGGACGTTAACTGGATGTGGGGGGAAGCCCAACAGAGTGCTTTCAACGAACTAAAGCAGCGACTCTCCATGCCACCAATTCTGGGATATGCTGACTGTACCAAGCCCTTTGAACTACATACAGATGCCAGTGGTCATGGATTAGGTGCAGTACTCTACCAGGTGCAGGACGGACAGCCACGAGTAATAGCTTATGCAAGTAGAGGACTCAGTCGTTCTGAGAGAAATTATTCAGCACACAAGCTGGAGTTTTTGTGTCTGAAATGGTCTATCTCAGAGAAGTTTCATGACTACTTGTGGGGTCATGACTTTGTGGTTATTACCGACAACAATCCATTGACGTATGTGCTGACAAGTGCTCGATTAGACGCCACAGGTCATAGATGGCTTGCTGCTCTCCCCAGCTATAATTTCAGCATTAAGTACCGCCCAGGGAAATCCAACAGTGATGCCGATGCTCTGTCTAGGTTACCAGTCAAGGAAGACCCTGATGACATGGATGAGATTGCCAAAGATTATGTCACAGCTATTTGTCATTCAACCCATGTGACGAATCTTGTGGAAAGTTTGTGCCTCTCTGCAGATGTGGTTGAAGATGAAGACCTTGACTTAACTGAGGACAGATGTGAACAGAATGCCAGAGACTGGAGACGATCACAGGCTAAAGATCAAGCCCTAGTAGAAATTATCACACACTTGAGGAATGGAGCAAGACCAGACCGGATGAACTACCTGAAGGATCCTGAAATGACATCATTGATGAAGAACTACAGTCAGTTCAAACTCAAGCGAGGAGTTCTATACAGAGTCGCCAGTGTTAATGGCGTAGACCGGGAACAGCTAGTTCTACCCTCTCGATTAAGAACTGCGGCAATGAGGAGCCTCCATGACAATGTTGGACACCCTGGAAGAGACAGGACTGTATCACTTCTACAGGACAGATTCTACTGGCCAGGGATAACACGTGACGTGGAGACCCACCTAAAACAGTGTGAGCGTTGTCTAAGGAGGAAAACTGCAACCAACATCAAAGCTCCCTTAATCAGCATCAAGACTTCCGAGCCACTAGAGCTTGTATGCATGGACTTCCTTTCCCTAGAACCCTCTAAAGGAGGAATAGAACATGTCTTGGTTGTGACAGATCACTTCACTCGCTACGCCCAAGCCTACCCAACCAAGAACATGTCAGCAAAAACAACAGCAGAAGCCTTTTTCAGCAATTTTGTCATCCATTATGGTCTTCCAAAAAGAATCCATTCTGATCAAGGAGCCAATTTTACAGGGAAGGTGATGCAGGAATTGTGCCAGCTTCTGAAAATAGAAAAGTCCCGGACAACGCCATACCATCCAATGGGCAATGGGATGACAGAACGGTTCAACCGTACTCTTTGTAACATGCTTGGTACTTTGGAACCAAATGAAAAGAAGAACTGGAAGGCGCATGTAGGTCCACTCGTCCACGCCTACAACTGTACCCGCCATGAGTCAACATCTGTAGCTCCCTTCTTCTTGATGTTTGGAAGACATCCAAGACTTCCAGTTGACCTTGCTTTTGGATTGGACATGGAAATTCAGGAAAGCAAGTCCATAACAGAGTACACCAAATCCTTGAAGGACCGTTTGAGGCAAGCCTATGACATAGCTTCAACAGCATCTCAGAAATCTCAGGCCAAGCAGAAGACTTACTATGACCAGAGGGCCAGAGCTGCAATGTTGGAACCAGGAGATCGAGTCCTTATAAAGATTGTGGCCTTTGATGGAAGACATAAATTAGCTAACAGATGGGAGGAAGATGTATATGTTGTGCTGCGCCATCCAAATCCATCGATACCTGTCTTTGAGGTTGGAAAGGAGAATGGAGAGGGAAGAAATAGAGTGCTACATCGTAACCTCTTGCTGCCAGTTAGTTCTTTGCCAGTCAAAATGCCACCAGCCATTAAACCCAGACGACGACAAGTACCAATACCTGTGCCTAAGCCGAGGAAGAACACGGCTGTCGAAACAAGTGAAGATCTGTCTGATGAGGAATCAGCAATTGGCTATACCCGTTCTTCAGAACCTTCAGTTCCTACTGAGATCACAGTGGAAAGGCCAAATGAAGGAGAGTCAGAAGAAGCTTTAGAAGGAGATGAGACTCCTACTGAAGAAGGGAGGGAAGAAGAAGAGCCAACTGATAATACTGTTCACCAGAACGAGCAAGATGAAGACAGATCTGAGACTGGGGCCACAGGTAGTGAGGATGACAGAGAAGAACAACCCAATTTGCAGCCAGAAGATGCTTCTCAGCCACGGCGGTCAACCAGAACCAGGTCACAGCCCAACTGGATGAGAAGTGGAGAATATGTTCTTTCTGCCATAAGTGATCCTGGAAATCCAGAATGGCTTGCCAGAGCCAACTATCTCAATTCTCTGCTAGCTGATGATAGATTCCGGGATCAGCGACACCGAGTGGCTGATACTCTTCTCGATCTTGTTAGTGGCAAGGTCAAATGATGAGACATCATTTTCCTGTGGGGGGAAGTATGTGGCAGACACAAGTATTAACATACAGTTTTGTTGTATATATGTTTTATCTATTTGAGGTCCTTTAGGTTTGTAATATTATTTTAAGTTGTTAGGAAAGTAGGTTCTTAGTTCAATATCTATTATGGGCTTCTGGATTAGTTTACTTATAATGTAGAGGGTGGTTGGGTTGGTCTATGTTTGTGTCATTGTTTCTCCTCTTTGTTCTAACCCAAGCCTTGTTTTCATTGGCTTGTTCAAACTGTGCACTTTTCATCCATCTTGCACTTGACAATACATCAATTCAGAAGTCAGTCAACAATTTGGACTCGGACAGATCTGGGATAAATAATTCGATTATTAAGGTTAGTAATCTATAAAATTGCTAGCTAATATCTATGTATTTGTATAATAATATAACTTATGTTATCTAAGTTATGTGGAATGTAATTTCAGTATTATTAACATGCTTATCTTTGGTATGGTGATTGTGTCACCATATTACTAAGTTAATAATTAAATAAGGCTAAGTAAACACTATAAATGCTTGTCATCCTTCTTCTTCCTGTGTGTGAATGTTTGAGTGAATGCGTTGATTTTTATCATTGTGTAAATACTGAATTTGTATGCAATGTCAATCATTGTATGGTAGTTAGTAGTTAGTTATATTTCCTAAATTGTATTCTGTATGTTACATTTATTCATAGTTGATTCTGTAATTAGGAGCGTGCTGACAGCTACAAAGCTACCACACAAGGCGGCTGCCTAGAGAGGACAAACACCCCAGTGTCACCCACAGGGTACGCATAATTTACATGTTTGTTGTGTCATGAAGTATATTTTGTAAATAGTGTATCATACCAAATGTATGATCAGGTAATGAATTAATATAGTAGTTTCAACAAAGTGGTAATTGAATTTGTAATGTTCATTGTATGTTGGAACCGTGGACCATATATATATATATTGTAATCTTATCAGTAATGTCGGGATCGAGTTATCGCCCTTGATCAATCGTTTGTTTACTTCAGGGTAAGGTAATGATTTTATATATCATTGATTATTAAGTTCATGTTGATGTAATGAATATAGACTATGTTTATATTAAATGAAAGGTTGCTTTGTATTGTATTAATATATGTGTGTATGAAACCTGTGTACTACTGTTTTTATAATCTTATTGTTTGTACATTACAGGGTGTCATTGTTATCTACTAATAAGGCAATAAAGACTCACACCCGTAGCCTGTGTTGGACCTTGTATTTGCCATCACAAACCCCGGTTACACATGTATTTCTATTTCTATGGGGCACAGGGCAGCCGATGTCTCAGGGTCCTATTTACATTCTATTTACCATATCACCTGTATAAATATTTTTGGGAATTCTACAAATCCACCCACACCAGTAGAATGGAATGTTATTGTCAATGTTTATAGAAAACTCAATATGGCTATGTGAGTAATGTCATAGCGGCTTTGGTATCAGTGGCATTACACGAGATGTTCAAATCTATTTATATTTAAAGTTAGTGAAATGGAGACTATGTCATTCCACACGTCAATGTTATGATAAACTTCAAACTTGATGTCATCTCAACTATATGCATAATCTTCAGAACAAATCAACCGCCTCCGTGGTCTAGTCGTAGAGCGTCCGCCCGGAGAGTGGAAGGTCCGAGATTCGATCCCCGCTCGCGTCATACCAAAAGACGTTAAAATATTGTACTTGTTGTTTCTTTCTGACGCTCGGCGTTAGGGGGCTAAAAGAAGGACTGGTCGGCTCGGAGTCAGTATACTGTGTCTGAGTAGGGCATTCATGTTAAACTGTTGCATGGTATCTCAGTGAGCTAGCACTATAAATCGGCATTAGTCCGGACTAGTACAAGCAGTCCACACACGTGCATGCACGTCTCTATATAAGTGCAATAATCTTGCACGCGACGCTGAACCCAATTTCATCTCACCTTCAGAACAAATCTCAAATAATATATATAATTAAAAAAAAAAATGGTGTAGTTTTGGTCGGACGAATCCCAATGTAAAAAGATTCTGTCAAGCTGAAATACATGGAATCATATGCCAATATTACAAAAACACATAACATGTCGACATGAACAAAGATGAATGTCTCGTGTACATGTCAATGAATCCTGTATGTGAGGTTATATCGTACACACACTTTATGTCAAATAATTGGAAGAAATGCTGGACCTGTTTCAATCGTTTCTCTCAGCTTGGATAAACTCCTTATCGGCAATAACAAACGTCACAGATGAAGTGTGAATGAGTGAGCCAGTTAACTGATTAGGTCGCATCAGCAGAGCTATGCAATCTTGCCAAGTTCACTATATTCACCAATCATATCACGTGATGTGCTGGCAAGTGTTTCATACGTTCGTGGTTCTGTTGGCTCGTATATATCTCGATCTGTCATTTCAGCCACTTCAGCAGCTGCCCCACCCTCCAGATCTGGCTTCTCTGTGTTAAGTGTGTAATATGTCTCTCCTGGTCCCTGGATTTCACGTGACATGACATTGAGGCCATCGTATGTTCGGTCTGCAAGTTGAGTTTCGTCGTTGTCTCGTGATTGTTTTGTTTGAACCTTTGACAGATGACTTGTGTTGTAGTAATCATGGGAGTCAGATTCCTGCAGCGATGGTCTGAAAATAGGGATATATGAAACATCAGGAATAAGATCTTAACGTTAATTCGTGGCTCTCCCCACCTAATCCATGTGATAACAAGCTAATAGTTTTATCACATTACGATGTTTTTGAAAATCATAATATCATCGTGTGTACTGGAAATGTAATCAATTGTTCAATTTGATTGGACCAGAGATTAAGTACCTTCGTCTCCTTCTCCAGCAAACAACACCGACGGCAACTCCTGCAACTACAACGACAACAATTGTTGTCACTGTCACTGCAGGTATAAGTGTTTCCTCACCCCCGACTGGATTGTTTTCCTGAGGTACATGTAAAGATGCTGGAAAAGAAGTTACACTTGTAACGTGGTTATGACAAATTGGATAATGGAGAATAATATACTGTGTTATCACAAGTTTGAATATGATCATTTTTGCAGATACTATTTTTTCTTATGATTGAAGATCAATCATATCTGTCACAACACTTATATTCTTAATGCTTGTCTTATATTAAATCTCTTTGTGAACGTTTGCAGCACATAATCCCTTCTTAAAGACACCTTCCGAACCTTCTGACGCATTCCAGTCGTCACATTTAGAAGATCAATCAGGTTTGTATTCAACGTAGATGTTTTGAACGTAGATTTATTAGTGATGAGCCAAATAGTTTCAGCGGGTTGAAAAAGCGAATTCACGTTTAAAGATTATGTACCTAAACCATAATTGTCACCATTATACTTAAACCACTCCACTGAGACACAATACAACAACGAAGGCAGATATCCTGAAAGCTTAATTCAAACTGACATCCCCAGAGAAAATGACGCGACCTTTGTAATCTATGATGACGCTATGAAGATCTACAGATTGAAAACCTAACATTTTGACAAGGTAGACATAACGTGAAAGAGTATCACCATGTTGATGTTACTTAATTTTGCAATACACTCTCAATCTTGAGAAATGTTGATACACTTGCTGTAAATAATGTGAGAACTGAACTATTTAGCAGCGTTAATGAAGTAAGATAAGTGTTTGAAATCATGAAACGGGCGGGTTTGCGGAAGAGGTGCTTCTGAATAAATATTTTTTTTATCAGTATTTCGATCAACAATAAAAACACTGACTGTGAAGTCAGAATGCTGCATTATAAAATTTCAAGGTAGAATATTGTGGAAGCCACCATACTTTTGGTTCCATTGTTATTTTGAGGTCCCTTCCGAAAGAAATTTGAGCTAGTAACATATAGATTCCCTTCTGATTCACGTGTATCACAACCACTGTACCTCCCTACCAGTCGGCATTCCGGCATGGTGACGTTACATCACTAAATGCAGGGTGTTCACCGTGGGACTCACCATCTTCAGAAAATACTCATTGCCAGTAAATCTACAGAATTATTGTTCTGTTCCGAAATTTGTACACCGCTTTGGACAGCATGGTGGAGAGACCGAGGATCACTGTCATACATACTCCAACTTTCATTTCATTCATAGTTCAAGTTATTTACAGTTGACAATCTAGGTTTAAGTATAATATGTATATAAATACATTTCAGATTTACTGTGAAGTGATTGCTAAACTGTTTACTTTATAACGTTCTATTTTGCATTATTTTAGCAAACAATGAACACAATCAATGGTTATTGTTGTGATAGCCGGATTTACCAATACATACTAAAACTAAGATATACTCACCCTTATCTGTAGAAACCTAGCACGTGTGTTAATCTGTGATGCTGATCTGTCCGCTGGGGTCGCATGTATCCTTTAACACAGCCGGAGAAACACTCACCTGAACATTTATTATTTATCCTCAATGCTTGAGAATATGTATGGTCACCATGGCTATCCAAACACATTTTCCTTATTAAAGCAATGGTGTTTTTACCTGTACAGTCCGTCTGCGTCCACCCTGGCTCACATCCCCTGTCACAGTCCCCTGTTGAATTACAGGAAGAGCTCGCCACACAGTGTCTGGAGGCACAGGTCTTGATACAGTTAGGCCCGTAGTGCTGGCTGTCACAGGCTAATAACACAAAAGCAAATCACTTGTTCAACAATCAGGAGATCAATACTTCATTTTGTTAGATTTGTGTGATGTGATGTAACCATTATTCCCAGTGTCTCTTTACTATCTGAAATATGTTTCCAGTAGCACAATACAAGTTTGTTATATACCTGTATAGTCAGGTTGTGTCAATCCTGCCTCACATCCACTGTCATAGTGCCCTGTTGTGTTACAGGATGGGTCCCCATACATTGTCTGGAGATACAGGTCTTGATACAATTATCTCCGTAATGTTGACTGTGTACTATCGATATGCACTGCATTCATCACTACAGATCGAATCCTCTTGGAATTGGCATACAGAATCATACCTGTACAGTCGTCCAGCGTCCACCCTGTTTATTAAAAATAAATAATGCACTAATTGATTGACCTCACAGATTTACCCTGGACACAGTCTAATGCACTAATTGATTGACCTCACAGACTTACCCTGTACACAGTCTAATGCACTTATTGATTGACCTCACAGACTTACCCTGTACACTGTCTAATGCACTAATTGATTGACCTTATAGACTTACCCTGTACACAGTCTAATGCATTAATTGATTGACCTCACATACTTACCCTGTCCACAGTCTAATGCACTAATTGATTGACCTCACAGACTTACCCTGTACACAGTCTATGCCCATCCATCCTGGTTTACATCTGGTAACACATTTTCCTGTCACATGATCACAGGGCGAGTTTCCTGCACAGTTTCTCTCAGTACATAGCAAGCTGCAATTATGTCCATAGGTCCCAGGGTAACATTCTGTAAAAGTATAGTGATATCGTCATATGTGCAAAGTTGCATCTAGATTGACCTAACATGTACATCACGAGAGTGACGTGTGTGCATATGTACACATACTACACGTTCAACTTTCTGTACACAGTATTCTACGTGACAATGCAACGTTTAAACATTATGTGTATCTGTCTATTTACACAGAAGAGTGGTGATGGTGTAGGAAATTTATGGTAATTACAAAATGTTCTTTACCAGAAGCAATGTAATTAATTCATATCACAATTATACATCCAAAACTAAAGATATTAGTAAAACTGCTGTTGTATTTACCTAGTTGTTGACCACTTTTATCAACTCATGTGGCTACCTAGCCAGCTGCCGTGTGGTTCTGTGCATGCCTTACATGCCTTGATTACATGCATCTATAAATGACTAATGCACAGCGCACCCTATTGGGCTTAAGAAAATGAAAATAGTCTACCTTGATACCCAACTGAAGCATCATAAAATGAAGACATCTTTTAAGTGTATGACCATTACAGCTGGTGTACCTTGTTTACAGTCCACCTCTATCCACCCAGGAAGGCACCCAGTGTCACATGACCCTATATGCCGGTCACATGACGACGGAGCAGCAGCACATTTCCTATTTCCACATGTCTCGTTACAGTTGACGCCATATTGGTCCTTATCACACGCTAGAAATGAAAGGTATCGTAAGTTTTCAGCGTGTGTTGAGAGGATGCTCAGAATCATTATGAACATGAGGTTAATGGTTATCATTATGCATTATTATTAAGACCTAGGTATTCAAGTTTATATCATTTTTCTCATACAAGAAATAAATCCATATTACAGCAAAAAGTATGTTTGTTCCTTACCAGTAGAACAATTTTGTCCTTGCCACCCTGGTCTACAGTCACCAGCACAGATCCCACTGAATCTGCCACAGGGCCCGTCAGAACAATGGCAGAAATGGTTGCAAAGTTGGCCAAAGGTTCCGTGACTGCAGACTAAAAACAGCATTGGCGTTGTTCATGTCTCTGCTTTAAACAGTTGGTCGTTAAGAAACAAGAACTGTATGGTGACGTTGATCGTAGAAATTACAAATAAGTGTCAGATGTTCTTATGAAAGCAAAGAGATCTGAAAGTCGTAGATGTTTATCCCTTTGGTTGGTTGGTTGGTTTGTTGTTTAACGCCGCGCTCAGCAATATTCCAGCTATATGACGGCGGTCTGTAAATAATCGAGTCTGGACCAGACAATCCAGTGATTAATATCATGAGCATCAATCCACGCAATTAGGGTCGATGACATGGATCAACCAAGTCAGCGAGCCTGACCACCCGATCCCGTTAGTCGCCTTTTACGACAAGCATAGTCATATCCCTTTGGTAAAACACATAAACCCTAGAATGCCGCTGACCATAATCAGGCGATCAGAAGATGAACTATGCACACTGAGCTGTGGAATATTGATCCAACTGACCACTCCTGGCATCAGAGCAACAATAGCTTAAATACTAATAATTCAAAGATCTTATGTGTGTTACAAGTATTAGTCTATTTATGTAACATGGGTACTTGCTAGGGAGGAACACTGTATATAGCAACACATCGCAGAGGGGCAACCGAAAATCAAAATATCCCTTGCATTACACTGCCTCCTCATTAAACAGTCATGATGGAATGGCATATCTGATGCAAAGATTGATCAACAAAACAAACAAAATATTTATCAATACCAAATATTTCCACCTCACACAGATTTAGTGTCTCTGTGCTGAGTGTGATGGTGAAGTATCTCCCTGTGCCGTCACACGTCACGTCGTACACGCTGTTGTCTGTTTCAGCTGTGTCAGAGGGGAAGATGTAGCAGGTGACGCCGGGTATGGAGCTGCTGGAGTTACTCAGGGAGAGGACAGCAGTTTGGAGTCTCCAAATATCTGAAATGGTGATCATTATAAGGCGACAAAAAATCATAAAACATAGCTGATAAAAGTCGTTTGTGCGATTCCGACCATAACATAAGCATGTATGTAACACATAGTTGTCCCCTTTTAAGAAATTATGTTCTCAAATTATATATCCTGTGTATGATATGTTAGTAAAAACTATGTGCCTTTCACATCTCATCAAAACTAACAAGATTTTTGTAATGTTGTTTGTGGTGAAACATTCACATCAACGAACACACACCAAGCATTTGTGGAAACTGTGATAGCATAGTGTTGATACTATGTCTTGCATCCAGTATACGTAGAATTCAGGAACGCCATAGCTTTGAGCGTAAATATTAATCGTAAATGCAAGAGAATAACCAGTTTAGATTTCCGCTTAACAGATTTAGTTTGGCAGAAAGGGCAAAATAGCTGTAAAAATTACGATTATATAAATGGATAAAATACGTGGTGACACTAAATGTTCAAAATACATCGTACTCTGGTTCTTCCGTTCCACAGAGGAGATTCTGAATCATCAATAAGAATATAGTAATTCTTTGAGGCAAATATTAAGGGAGACAGCTATTGTTTGACAAATGTAAATTCAAAGGGGAACTGGAACTGCAACATGTAATTCTGGGGTATTGTGTTCTTATTCCGTTTGACTTTAGCTTAGAATAATGAAAATATGACAAGCGAGGGGACACAATATCCACGTAGGTGCTAATATTCAAATATACGTCAACTAACTAGGATCCCTTCAGAGTCTTCAGGATGATGCAGAGTAAATACCTGAAATGGAATAGTTCGTTAACCTGTTTTAGGTAAGGTACTGACATATTAAAGGAATAACAAGCCGGTCGAATATTTCAGTTAATCCTGTTCCATAGGTAATCCAGACATAAGAATAAGCCGGCACCTGAAGTACAATGCATAAAGATGCCCTAAAAAAGTAAGATGCACATGTGATTTTATTATGCCTCAAAATGAGATTAACCAATCAGAGAGCAGAACTAATGACCCTACATGAGCCCGTATACCGTCAGTAAAATACCAAGATGGTTGTTACTGACCTGATAAGAGACCGTATACCGTCAGTAACAGCCATCTTGGATTTTCCAACATCCACCTCACATATTTCACATAACATTCTGGTACAGAAATTCTTTATGCGACACTTTTTGGTATTTTAATATAATCAATTTTGATGTGCAAGGACATTAATATTTTGTTGATCACCTTCTTGACTTTATTGAAATAGAATATCGTTAAAATTATCGACAAGGTTGTGTGTGTGTGTGTGTGTGTGTGTGTGTGTGTGTGTGTGTGTGTGTGTGTGTGTGTGTGTGTGTGTGTGTGTGTTTGTGTGTGTGTGTTTGTGTGTGTGCGTGCGTGCGTGCGTGCGTGCGTGCGTGCGTGTGAATATATTTTTTGCTTACCAAATATGACACCGTATACGGCAATAACATAACTAATAATATGTAGTAATTGCATATTTTGTTGATCACCTTCTTGACTTTATTGAAATAGAATATAGTTAAAATTATCGACAAGGTTGTGTGTGTGTGTGTGTGTGTGTGTGTGTGTTTGTGTGTTTGTGTGTGTGTGTGTTTGTGTGTGTGTGCGTGCGTGCGTGCGTGCGTGCGTGCGTGCGTGCGTGCGTGCGTGCGTGCGTGTGAATATATTTTTCTGCTAAATAATATGTAGTAATTGTTGGAAATGATATTGACAAAAATACCAAAAACGAAGTAGTCGCTTTATCATACCATGAAGATGATCAAAATATTACATGTAAAAAAGGGAAATTATTCATTTGAAAACCAAACAACCACTCACCAAATTACCACATATGAAATCTACATTTGCTTAGATATCCTGATGCAGATGTTATGAAATAGAGTATCTACATTGCATCTTGCTTATATGGGTCTGGAGTTCTTTTTCTGATACCGTCAGTAACAGCCATCTTGGATTTTCCAACACCCACCTCACATATTTCACATAACATTCTGGTACAGAAATTCTTTATGCGACACTTTTTGGTATTTTAATATAATCAATTTTGATGTGCAAGGACATTAATATTTTGTTGATCACCTTCTTGACTTTATTGAAATAGAATATCGTTAAAATTATCGACAAGGTTGTGTGTGTGTGTGTGTGTGTGTGTGTGTGTTTGTGTGTGTGTGTTTGTGTGTGTGCGTGCGTGCGTGCGTGCGTGCGTGTGAATATATTTTTTGCTTACCAAATATGACACCGTATACGGCAATAACATAACTAATAATATGTAGTAATTGCATATTTTGTTGATCACCTTCTTGACTTTATTGAAATAGAATATAGTTAAAATTATCGACAAGGTTGTGTGTGTGTGTGTGTGTGTGTGTGTGTTTGTGTGTGTGTGTGTGTTTGTGTGTGTGTGCGTGCGTGCGTGCGTGCGTGCGTGCGTGCGTGCGTGCGTGTGAATATATTTTTCTGCTAACCAAATATGACACCGTATACGGCAATAACATAACTAATAATATGTAGTAATTGTTGGAAATGATATTGACAAAAATACCAAAAACGAAGTAGTCGCTTTATCATACCATGAAGATGATCAAAATATTACATGTAAAAAAGGGAAATTATTCATTGAAAACCAAACAACCACTCACCAAATTACCACATATGAAATCTACATTTGCTTAGATATCCTGATGCAGATGTTATGAAATAGAGTATCTACATTGCATCTTGCTTATATGGGTCTGGAGTGCTTTTTCTGTAAATATGTTTATATAAGATAAATGTCAGCACATGAAACATTTGAATTTCTCTACAGCCCAAATATATCACATGCATACATCCTTCCCGGTTGTATATCCTGACGTCGTGTATCCTGTACTGCTGTCCCAGGTCCACTGTCCACACACTTGGATACCAACGAGCGTGGAAGCAGGAGTTGTTCATCATTTCCTGGTCCCGGTTCCCATCTACAGCCTTGTCTGCAGACCACGCAGCCCGCCAGACTCCAGAAGGAGATGTTGCTGATTTTCCTTTCGCAATGTTTCCTGTTTGGATATATATTTTCAAAGACATGTCACACAAAGACTTGACCTGACCAGAATGGTTTATATTGTTCAGAAGGAGATGGATCTTTCTGGTGAGGCATATGTTATGCATAATAAAGACAATGTTTATTCGGTTTGCCTGAGCTGTTTTCTCGTTTTGAATAATTTTGGACATAAAACTATGAATAAAAGGTATCTTCATAGAAACGAATGTGACATTTCCCCCATTTTGTGCAAGAAGCAGGATTTACGTTTGCAAAGTTTCAATAGGATTCAAAGCCTGGGAATCTTCTGGACTTTTCTCTGCGTGCGAAATTTGAAATTGCATTTGGCATTGCGACATAAATGTCGCATCAATCATAGAATTTCTTTGATTAAAAGTCAAAAACCGTCTTGGAGAGTGTATACAGCACTCTGTTAACCTTTCGGCTTCAGTTGTCATTTATTGCATCATAACTTCATCATAACGTCATGACATACCAGAGTGATGACATGTATGTCTCACAGCTGTTGGAGTACCCGTCGAAAGAGAATATTATGGAAATCAACAATAACTTTTATATTTACCGTGTTGATAAGCATTATGTGCTCTCATATTTTAGGTGTCATCGAAGATTCAATGCACAGCAGTTGGAACATTTGAAACCTACTTCATTCAATAAATAGTCTCAGGGAGCCATTAAACTAACAAATGTAAATATATAACGTCAACTCCAGGCAACACAGCGGTGACAACTACACGAACGGATCTCTGAAAATTAGTGATGACACCAGGAGTTCACGAAAAGAGAAATCATGTCCTGCTCTACTGGTAGCACCTGCCACTCAAACAATTTGCATGAAATGTAAGTAAACTAACCAGAATCAAATATAATCTAGCTCATCTGAATCGAAACTGATTCTTTTCAAAATCGGAAATGTCATTAACCATGTTTATTGTGCATCACAGGCAACGTTGATGCTTCCACCTTATCGACTGAAAAGTAAATCTACCATACATGTATTAGTGTAATATGTCACCATAAGAGTACATGCAGTTATAATTTTCATGACGCAAAAATACGTATTGCGAAATTATGAAAGACAGTCAACACTGAATTGAAATACTAAGAAATCAACAATTTAGCCTATTTGGGAGATTAGGTTGAATCAGTCATATTTGAATATGTATTATATTCATATTCATACCACCCGAAAAGGCTGTTATTGTTGTCGTGTACGTGATAGTGAGTGAGCGAGTGATAATGATGTTGCGCCGCTTTAAGAAGTATTCATTCGTACCAATTAGGGGGGACCTTATAAATGGGTTTCAGACATTGCACTTACCCAGGCCCTCAGCTTTACGGGCCAACATTGTACCCACAACAGGCAACCGTCAATATATTTATGCCTAAACACAGCTTAAGTAATAAAGTTTGGGGATTATTGCACTTATATCGCGACGTGCATGCACGTGCGTGTGTGTGTCTGCTTGTACTAGTCCGGACAAATGCTGATTTTATAGTGCTAGCCCACTGAGATACCATGCCGCAGTTTACATGAATACCCCATTCAGACACAGTATACTGACTCCGAGCCGACCAGTTCTTGTTTTAGCCCCTTAATGACCAGCGCCAGACAGGGTAACAACAAGTACAAACTTTTAACGACTTTTGGTATGACGCGGCCGGGGATCAAACTCCGGACCTTCCGCTCTCCGGACGGACGCTCTACCATGAGACCACGGAGGTGGTACAAATACAGGTGGTACAAATACAGCAGAATGTGTTGAAATAGTTATTGTAAGTATGGGGCTGATCATAAAGAAATATAAGGGCACTTTCTGTTGTTGTTTCCAAATCGATTTCATTTTACATTACACCTTTCTGGCAGGTAGCTCCATGTCCTCCCATCCAGCCAGCATCACAGTCACCTCCACAAACTCCTGTTGTCTGGTCACAGGAGTCCCCACAGTGACAGGAGTAGAAGCAGGAGTCTCCGAACTTTCCTGTTGGACAGGAACCTGTAAAACATACTCAGGGGTGAAATACATCAAACATCAGATGCATACATTTGCGATCAAGTTCACAAATATCTTCCATTCAGCACTTTTTGGATAGAGAATTTAAAACTACAGTAAAGTACGGTTATAACGAACTCAAAGGGACTACTAATTTTAGTTCGTTATAACCGTAGTTCGTTATAAGCATATATACAGCATAACTACAGCAAATAGGCGGGACCAAAAGGTAAGTTCGTTATATCCGTCAGTTCGTTATAAGCGTGTTCGTTATAAGCGTAGTTTACTGTATCTGCATTACAAACTTGCACACACACGCATGCAGGTAGGCACGCAGGCGCGCAAGCACACACGCACACACACAGACTCACATGCAGGCACACACAAGACACGCACGCACGCACTCACGCACGCACACACACACATATACTCTTAAAAAAGAAACGCAAACCTTTGTGTGAGGTAGGAAAATACATACGAGGAACCGTACAAGGTATTGAGGCAAAAATCATTTGATGATTGTATTCATCTCAGTTATCGGTACATAGAAAAGGTCCAAGGTGAAGGCCAGCTACCATCAATTATGCGTATGTTCCCCGTTGGAAGAGACGAGTATTAGAATCAAATCCTGGGAAATGGTAGCCCACTCGGCCTGCAACGCAAAGGCCAACTGCTGCAAAGTCTGGGGTTGTGGCTGATATCGAGGTAGCCGTCTATCCAATTCATCCCACAGGTGCTCTATCAGGTTCAAATCCGGGGATCTGGAGGGCCAGGGGAGAACATCAGCGTTGTTGTTGTGTAGACAGGCTCTTGTGATCATTGCAGTATGCGGTCGAGCGTTGTCCCGCTGGAATACAATTGCGACTCTGTTGTCTAACGCGAGTCACCACTGGGAATAGTGTCCGTCTCTGGTCAGGGACGTCCTCAAGGTTTGACCAATTACTTGTACATCAAATGGCCTTCATGAAAAAACAAACAGTGCCGCTCAAATAAGATAAGTGAAGTACGTAGATCATAGACTACAGATGGATCCACTGTTCAGAGACACTTAACATTGTCAGCAGAGTGGAAACAGACGTCTTGGTGCACATTCTGGTTAGAGTTCCCATTTCAGCTTTGTCTGCAGACCAGGCAGTCGAGTAGGAGATGAACATTTCACTCAAGTAATGAACACAAGTAGTGTTCAGAATAGATATTACACTGTACGAGGCATACATATTCCTTCAAAATCAAACCATACATTCAAACGCATCGATGCCTAAAATGGTATTTATATTACTTGTAATAGAAATATGTTGTATGGATATGTTGACAGGCAAGGGCGAATCCAGAATATGAACCCTCGACACACACCCAAACACCAACCCAACCAATCGCCCAACCAAATACTCACTCGGGGGCAAATCCAGAAAACTTACGCTCGACACGACGATCGGGACAACATGTAGTACAGTAAGTTGCAGCCACCTTTGTTCGAAAAACCTTTGAGAACATTGCATTATCAAATGTATTTTATACCTTTCAAATGGTTTTGTGAAAACATATACGCAGACTAAGCATTCAATTCATAGTTATCATGATAGTGTTTCGGGGTTTGTCTGCAACATGCCGGTGTTCTCTGGTGTCATCACACTGGCAAACATCTTCTGCCTGCATCACTTCCGGTCTTCCTTTCCGAGAACACTCCACTGCCTACTAGATCAGATCTGAAATTTCAAGAAATTCAAACGAATGTGGGAAAATTATGAGCTTGCTTCTCGCACTAGGACTGATAGTGAGGAATGTCGATCGGCTACCCTATTGACATGTATTGGTCCAGATGTCTTAGACATTGTAGATGGATTAGAATTTGAAAATGAAGCAAATAGACAGAAGGTGGACAAAATACTGGAAAAACTTGAACATTATTGTATAGGGGAAACAAATGAAACTTGGGAAAGATACAATTTCAACAGAAGGGGCCAGGAACAATTCGAGTCCATTGATTCTTATGTTGCAGTATTAAGAAATCTTGCAAAGAGTTGCAACTATGGGGATTTAGCGGAGTTATTGACCCGTGACAGGATGGTAATGGGCATCAACGATAATGCAACAAGAAAGAGATTGTTACAAGCTTCAAAACTGTCTGTAAAGGACTGCATAGATATTTGTAGGTCGCATGAAAGTGCGACGAGACGTCTGAAATCACTATCGCAAGCTGAAGATGTTCAGTTTGTAAGTCAAAGGAAACCCAACAAGTCATAGAAACCTAATGCTAAGCAACAGATCAAAACATCTGAACTGCTCAAATGTAAGTTCTGTGGAAAGAGGCATGAGTTTCAAAAGAAAGAATGTCCGGCATGGGGTAAGACTTGTGCAAAATGCAAAAAGAGAAATCACTTTGCTGCTTTGTGTCCTGGAAAGAGCAAAGACAGGGTTCACATGGTGGATAGTGATAGTGAAGATAGTGAGTGTAACTTCTGACTGTGTCAATTCTGTACAAGTTGATGAAATGAACTTGGTCAATCAGAATTACCCCAAAAAGATATTTGCAACATTGGTTGTGAATAGAGAGGTAGTTGAATTTCAACTTGACTGTGGGTCAACTGTTAACATTCTGCCTTCCGTGTATACTCAAGTGTTCAGGGATGACAAATTCAGTAAATTGGACACTAATCTGATTTCCACACTGCAAATGTACAACGGTGCTGAGACAAAAACTCTTGGGAAGATACGTGAGTCACAAAAAGAATGGCCGCAGGTACAGCGTTGAGTTTCTAATTGTGTCTGAGAAGGGTTGCAATCTAATATTAGGGGCACGAGCTGTTGAACAGATGCAACTGATCACTGTGAACTTTGACAATATTCTGTTGATGGAATCACCCGAGGTGAATCTAACTGCTGACTCTTCACTTGAACCTGGGAAACTGGAAATCACTGATATCAAACAAAATTATCAGGATTTGATTGATGGTGAGGGAACTCTGGAAGGCTTTCTACACTTGGAGGTTGACAATACTGTAACCCCAGTACAGTTACCATGTCGCAAGATTCCTGTTGCTGTACAATCTCAGCTGAAATCTGAACTGGAAAGACTGATGGAGCAGAAGATTATTACACCTGTTGACATACCAACAGGCTGGGTGTCAGCTTTGGTGGTGGTGCAGAAGCCGAGGACAAACAAAATCAGGATCTGTATCGACCCGAAACCGTTAAACAAGGCACTTAAGAGAAACCATTATCCGATAATGACTATAGATGATGTGTTGCCTAAGTTGGCCAAGGCAAAATGTTTCTCTTCGGTGGATGCCAAAAATGGGTTCTGGCATGTTCAGTTGGATGAACAGAGCAGTTACCTGACAACATTTGAAACTCCCTGGGGGAAGTACTGTTGGCTCCGTATGCCATTTTGCCTCTCACCAGCTCCAGAAGGGTTCCAACAACGACTGAATGATGCCATATCTGGACTGGATGGTGTTCGTGCGATTCATGATGATATCTTAGTTTACGGCGTGGGAGAAACTGATCAGGATGCTGAGGTCGATCACGACAAGAAATTGATCATCCCTTTTTAATTGTTGTCGAGCGAAGGACATCAAACTGAATGAGTCTAAACTGAAGTTGAAACTGCCAAAAGTGCCCTACCTGGGTCATGTACTCCAAAATTGATGAGACCAAGGTTGAGGCTATCAAGAAAATGCCTTCACCTACTGACAAACAAGGTGTGCAACGCATCTTGGGGATGGTCAACCATGTGCAAAAGTTTGTACCCAATCTCTCTGAAATCACCGCTCCACTGAGAGATCTGCTGAAAGGTGAAGTGAACTTTCGATGGGACAACACTGTACATGGACAGTGCTCAGAGAAGATTAAGCACATTCTGTCAGAACCTCCTCTTGAGAAAGAGCCTCCTGAGCGCACCTAAAAGGCTGCAACGCATGATGCTACGGTTGCAGAAGTACGACTTTACAGTGGTGTACAAGAAAGGAAGCCTGATGTTCATGGCTGACACATTAAGTCCGGCGTACTTACCACATGACAGACAATTGATCACTGACGAAGGCCAAGTGTTGATGATAGACATGAGGAGCCCAACAGCTATTGACATTGAGACAATTCAAATGGTCGAGCATTTATCCATATCTCAACAGAGACTAGCTGAACTGAAACAAGCCACAAGCAAAGATACTTGCATGAGCAAGCTGATGCAGCTCATACGGCAAGGCTTGCCACCGTCAAAGGAAGATGTACCACACTCAGTACGTGAGTACTTTACCTTTCGGGACGAACTCGCTATGCAGAATGGCGTAGTATTCAAGGGCGAGCGTGTTGTTGTACCTGCAGGTATACGTGGTAACATCATGGAGAGAATTCACTCAAGCCACATCGGTGTGCAAGGGTGTATACGACGAGCAAAAGAACTTGTCTACTGGCCGAACATGGGACAGGAGATAATAGATCTTGTAAGCAAGTGTGAAACCTGCAACACCCTACAACAAGACCAAAGCATGGAGCCTTTGATCAGTCATCATATTCCTACTCGTCCCTGGGAGAAACTGGGATGTGATTTGTTTGAGTTTGATCAGAAAGACTTTTTGATTACTGTGGACTATAATTCCGACTTCTTTGAAGTTGACAGACTTCACAGCAAGAAAGCTCCTGAAATCAACAAGAAGCTCAAGTCACATCTAGCTAGACATGGGATTCCAAATCAGATTATCTCCGATAACAGTCCACCGTTCAACTCTGAAGCTTTTCGTAAGTTCTCAGACAACTATGAATTTGAGCATGTTACGTCGTCACCTCGTTACCCACATTCCAACGGGAAAGTTGAAAGCGCGGTGAAGATAGCTAAGAAGCTGATGACAAAGTCACTACATGCCCAAACTGATCCTTACTTAGCTCTCCTAGACTGGCGAAATGTTCCGACAGAGGGAATCGGATTTTCTCCGGTACAGCGACTCTTTAGCAGGAGAACAAAGACCAAACTCCCAACAGCAAGTACACTTTTACAACCAAAGACCGTTAATGGTGTGTCAGACAAGATAGCTTGTAAAAAAACTAAACAAGCTTACTACTTCAATAGAGGCACCAACGAACTTCCTGCTCTGAAGGAGGGAGATGTGGTAAGAGTCAAGCCTACTAAGTTCGACAAACAGTGGAAGAAAGCTGTTATAGAACAACAGGTGGATGTGAGGTCGTATGAACTGCGTACAGAAGATGGCAGTAACTTGCGCAGAAACAGACGACATTTGAGAAAGTCTCATGAAGCTCCTCCATTGTTTGTGGATACAGATATGGCTGAAAGGAACCAGTTAGAACCAGATCTGTGTGTGGAAAGAACTTCCGCTGAAACTCCTATGAGGAACTGTACTGACAAGCCTGTAGACCAAACATCAAGCAAAACTACAGAGAGAGTTCAGATTCCTGCACAGACAACTAGACAGTCAAGTGAGACAACTAAGAAGAGAACTTCTCGTGGTCGTGTGATAAAACAACCGTCTAGATTCAGAGGTTATCTTACAAATTATGAACTTTAAAGTAAACCTGTTTTGCAGTAAAATTGTGTTATGGATTGTAAGCCTTTTTGAAAGGACGAAGAACTGTTTAGTTTTTATGTTATGAACTGTGTGCCTTACTAAGGACGAAATCAATTCATAACCTTTATTGTGTTGACAGTTTGGGAAGTGTTTCAAATATGCTTTCGGTTTTCAGCAACTGAGCTGGTAAGAACAAAGACTTGTTTTACCATTAGTATTGCATTAATGTTTCAAGACTTAAAAGGTTACCCTTAAAAGGGGAGATGTTACGTATTGATGGCTTGAGAGTTACCTCCCGTACTGTACGCATATAGGCATGACGTCACTGTGAGCGTCGTCTGATGGCGTTGTAGAAGCTCAGAAGTACATTCAATGACCAACCACTTCTAGTTGTCATACGTTTGTAGTGATGAAGTCAAGTAGCATTAAACACTTAACAATTACTACTTGAAAGTGATTCATAAACACATGCTCATGATATAGTCGGAATTGTACAATCGACTCTGCTGTATGCACAGAATTCTATTCGATTAGGAAAGGGTTTTGTCGCTTTATTTACACATCAGTCTGACAGCCTCAACCTGACACGCCCTTATATAAGTGAAATATTGTCACAGTCAAACTCACTCAATCTAACCGGCCATAAACACTCCAATACACTCACACACTCACTCACTCACTCAGCCACCCAAACACCAATCCACCTGCCCAAGCACACTCTCTCACTCACTCACTCCTTTTATCCCTTCCTTTTCCATGTCCTTCCACCCAGTCCCTATCATAGACATCTCCACAAACAACAGTTTCCTGGTTACAGTATTGTCCACAGTGACAGGAATATAGCTTCAAGAATCTCCGAACGTTCCCCGGGAACAAGAACATACATTTTAACGTCGCGTTCAAGATTTTTTCACTCATAAAGGAAGTGCATGAATTAGTCCGGACTTATGTCTTGATAGTGCAATCTCATTTAGATACCATGCAGCACTTTGTAAGTTTGACACACACATTGTAGAGCCTCCGAGTCGGGCAGTCCTTACTTTACCCCTAACGCTGAGCCCCAGACAGCGTAACAACAAGTGTAATCTTTTAATGTATTTGGTATGACACGACTCGGGAATCGAACCATCGACCCCTTCCCCTCTTTAGACACAGAGGCGATTTGTTCAACAGATGGTAGTAATCAAATTATATTGCATGCATTTTGTCTTAGCCTTTGCTATCAGACATCGTTTCTGATTCACTGTACATCACCATCTTCTACAACTTTACTCCCCTTTAAGCAAGCCATAAACTGTAATACCGTCGCGCTCAGTGTGTTGTACAGTGATTGTCTTGGCTAAAACTCTCGTGCAACAATAATGCAAAATGAGGTAGTGACATTACAGTAATCGACGTAAAGATATATTGTATATCAAATAAGGAAGCATGATGTGTCATTCACCCAGGATAGCCTGTATCGAGCAAGCCGATGTGACCACGATGACAGTCAGCATCCACACACCCGCCATGTTTGACAACCCGGACGTAGTATCCGCTTGACTGTATAGCTGGGACACCTGGCGTTGCACGCCGTCAAAATAAACTTGGACGTCTATGAGCTGGGGGCTGCTAACATACAATGTAAATATCTGAAATGCATGTCTCTCTTTGCCCTGTATCATGCAAGTAAACGCAAGGACGTAAAAGACATGTTAGGTGGTCTTATAATATTCAGCTTTCAAAATGTGTTATAACTTGCATTGTAATACATAACGTGGACACATTAATGGCCAAGTCTCTGATAGGTCCGATACTCGATCCCCGAACATTTCGAGGTTATTCATAAAGTAAGAAAAGTCTACCTTCCTCAGTTTATGAATAAGATATGATCACTGTTTTACATCAGTTGCATGAATCACACACACACACACACACACACACACACACACACACACACACACACACACACACACACACACACACACACACACACACACACACACACACACACACACACACACACACACACACACACACACACACACACACACACACACACACACACACACACACACACACACACAACATGTGTTCTTAATCTCCATCATTGTCTTATGGTACTAAGGAGTCAGACAAACCGAAATAATATTATTAATGAGCGTTACACACACGACTTTTGGATTATGTAGTCGTTGCAGCTGTCGACTAAATGGAGAGTTTGCAGCAGATGTTGCATACTTAATTTCTATGACAGTTATACTTCCTTAATAGTGTGGATAGGTGAAAAGCATGCATACGTAACAGGAAGTGTGTATTCGGGTGGCTTCATCCACGTAATGGGAAGAGGTCATGATCAAGCTGCACTTGTCTTCAGGAAACAACACACAGCTTCCTTCCAGTGTAAGGTAAAAGTTACAATGCCATGATTATAAATGACAAAGGCATAGGTTATTTGAGTACATTGTCAGATTACGGTACGTGTATGTTTAAAACTCACAATGAAAGGGTGTATTTTAAAGCATAATGTGATTTGGTCTCACTGGATATGAAAGAGAACAAAATCTACTTCCCTGTGACATTCTAAGCGTTACCTCTACTAATTGGAGGTTGGAAGTTACAACTTACTCACAGTGCATATCCCTTAAGTATGCCATAAAAATGTTATCGTGGGTTCTATTCCGAGTTAGTTTACCATATCATATTTGTCAGTATCACACCCTCCCAAGCTGGCGACCCGTGATATCATTGTTAGTGAGGAATGTTCAAAGTGGTTGTAAGTGTGGACGGATGGGGTAGAACCTAACTGGAATGCTGTTAAAATCGGCGTTATACCCAACTAATTCACTCACTCACTTATTATTGATATCAGTCTACTGTCGAATCAGAAGCTACCCATGTTATTCATACGCTACCCTTATTCCAGCAATGTCTTTTTGTAAGGTTGAAATTAGACGATGCGCCAACTTTTTTCGAGTAATAAATAAATAACTACACTTGTCCTCATTAGAAACGTGAAATAAACTCACTGTAGTAAAAACGGTATCTAGCAGGGACTCGTTTGGTAATCTACATACATTGCATGTTGCATACATAACCAATGAAATTATCGTCACTGGTGTTTAAAGACAGGACAGTTGCTATAGAAAGTGCGATAACCAACAATGTTTACATGCATGCTATATGCACGTTGTAGTGTTTGCTCTTATACTTTGACGCATTAATAGTTTTGTTAAACTATTTAATTAAAAATGAGTGCACATATTTTCTAAGACGGTTCATATTGCAAAGTTCCATTGCTGCACTTTCCAACATTACAGTATTTTTAGTGATTCCTAACAAAACAGCTCTGCGTGACAAAGGGATGCGTTCAAATGTCATCATTTGTTTCAATTTTCTAACCCGGAGCCTGTATATAACATAGCATTGCTTCCAGTATCAGTGACGGGTATTGATATATGTCAATGTGTGATGTGTCAACAACATTTTCTGCCATTCTCACACTCGATGGAACAGTTGGGAATATTTGGGAATATGTAAATTTAGATTTATCTCCACTGAACTTAGACATTTTAATCTGGTGAACAATGTTTTGCCAATTCTTGTTAAATGTTCCAGGTAGCTGAGTGTAAGTATGAACCGGAATTATTGCAGAGGGTTGGCAAGGGAAATACAGCTTTTTTATTCGGGAGGTCAAGTGAAATGAAACGTCACGTTAAAGGTTATTTTATTCAGTTTGCATGACTCTGCGTGTCTGGCTGCTTATACTAGTCGGGAATCAATTCGGCTGTTAAGTGCTAATCCACTGATATACCACGCCACAGTTTTACATTGATACACCTTCAGATACATCAGAGTGTACACCGAGCCGGCCAGTCCTCATTTTATTCCGTAAATCCCGAGTGCTAGGCAGGGTAACAACAACTACCAAACGTCTCTTGGTATGACGCAACCAGGGAATATGAGCACCAAACTTCCGCGATCCACGCCAGGCCGGGTAACATCAACCACAACGGTTCGTTGTAAGCATACACACAGCACACATACAGCAAATGCCCAGGATAAAAAAGTATTCTATATCCGTCAGTTTGTTATAAGCATGTTTGTTATAAACGTAGTTTACTGTTGCATGACGCGACCAGGGAATCTGAGCACCGAGCTTCCACGATCTACGCAGGCGCTGTACCCACTACAACACGGATATTGCCTTGAACCATTGACATTCGTTGACAAATGAGTTCGCGTTTTTCAAGGTGGCTTTATCAAGGAGATGTATCGCTTCATCCCGCTGTGCTCCAGCACACAAATTATTTGAAACGTAAAGCTAACTGGGCCAATCTTGCTCATTGGTGATGCCATTTATCGTGACTTAAATTTCGTGGCAACAGTGTTAGAAGGTAAATGAGAACGTATCTTGTACTTGGTGAAATAAAGAGAACAGCTTGTATATATGTATTAATGACATAAATCAGACACACGTATTATCCCTCTGTGTTCTATAAGTCATGGCAAATGCATACACACGCCCTCCATGGCAAATTTGGTATATGAATCAGACACACACAATCCCCTGAGTCTCAGATTATGAATTAGTGTTAGATTCATAAAATAAGTGTGTTGCATTGGTCATAGGAATCAGACGAACACACTGCGCGAACTCTTCGTCCATCTTAGCATACACCATTTGTGTAATGTTAGTAATTGGTCAGATAGAATAACCAGTTTTTATAATTAGATATGGAAGGGCAACAGGGGATATTTGGTAAACCAGTACTCACTGGCATAACCCTATGTGTCGTATTGTGTGGCCACAATATCCTGTCTATTCTATTGTCCAAGAGTCTTATTCTATGGATAGAATGATGGATTATGTGTTTATTTTTCGCTATTTAACCCAGCCAAGGTTATTCCCTCATGAGAGTATTGAATTTATAAACTCTTAGTTGTACATTGACTGTCTATGCATCCCCTCAAGATCTCCTCAATATACTCTCATTTTATTACAGTCATACAGTTGTTCA